TGTTGGGTTGTTGAGGGGCTGGCGGGGAGCAGGTGGGCCCGACCCCACTCATTGTGCGTCTTCCTGCAGCTGTGCCGGTGACCGTATGTGCCACTGGGCTCTGCCAGCACCCAGGGGCGCCCAGGAGCCCAGGGATGGGAGGGGGCCCAGGCGGCTGCCAGGGCACTCCAGGGTCTGCCTGGCTGCTCTGTGGTGAGGGCTTTTCAGAGTAAGGTACGTGGCCATGCAGAGCCCCACGCTTTGCAGGAGCAGCGTAGCGGCTTTCAGTGCACAAAGCTGTGACTTGTGCAGACCCTGTGGCCAAGGCAAATAGGTGCCCATGGCCTCACCCATCCTGGGGCTGAGCCATGCTGGTGTTTGGGATTTCAATACCTGGTTCCCATTGGTTTGAGATGTTGGGCTGTGGTTTGGGGCTGCCATCTCCTCTGGTGGTGCCCAGCGTCCACACCGGGAGGGTAGGAGTCAGCAGCGCCGGGTAGGAGCCCTGCCTGGTTGTGCACGAGGGCGCCGAGGGCTGTACCAGGTGTTATTCCCGTGCTCCTTTCACAAGGGAGCTGTGGGGCTGTGGTAGCCTGAGTGTCTGTGCTGTGCCAATGGGCAGGGAGACAGGCAGAGCATTCCGGGGGAGCAGCAGCCCGTGGTCACCTGTGCCACCCCGCACAGGGCTCTCCCACCCGCTGCTGCAGTGCATGGAGGGTGCTCCGTGTGCAGCCGGGGCACCTGCACCCCAGCTCAGCTACACAGATGGTGCTGGGGCCGGGCACAGGCATTTTTTAGGGTAACCCTCAGCTCCTCATGCAGCTTGGAAAGCTGTAGGCAGAGCTGTTTCTGTGCCCACAACCTCGTGGTTTTTTCTTGTAGATTCAATGAGCAGGTGAATTAAGACTGTAATTATGGCTCCACCCAATTATTATTGCTTTAACTAAAGTGGAGTGGCCTCTGTGTGTGGGGAAGGAGCCAGGACCCAGCTGCACCCTTGCACACTGCTCCTGGTGGGTTTCACTGGGGACCACCTGCATGCACGATGGGGGCTCTCAAGCACCTCTGAACCTCCTTCGTGCCTACTGCAAAGGGCATCAACCAGCGTCTTCCTCCAGCCTGCCCTTCTCTGCCTGCTTTTCACTTCCACTGCCCCCAAAACCCTCTTCCTAGAGGGATGTTAGTTTTTCCCCAGTGGGCAGAGCCCGTGGTCCCTCCTGGAGCCTGGCTCTTTCCCATGGTGGGCACCACGCGACATTGCCTGTCCCTGGCGTGGGCCTGAGCTGGTGCTCACCAGGCAGTGTCCCCGCTGGCACAGCCCTTTGCCCCCACCCAGAGGCCTGGGGAACTCCCAGAAATGCACAGGGTGGCTTGTCCCATGCTGGGCAGTGCGGGCCAGGAAGACAAGCACTGTCTTGCTGGGCTGTGGCAAGTCCCAGAGAGGCAGCTCCCCCTGCACCTGAGCTGCTGCCTGCATGGAGGGGTCCTCTGGGTTTTTGGGGAGGGGTTGCTTTGTGTTCTGGTTCCTGCGTCTTGAGCATGTTTGGGGTCCCACCGGGGTGCAGCCAGAGCTGCCCTTTGCCCATGGCCCAGCCCGTGCTTTGCAGTGGGTGGGTACATGAGGGATGGCAGAGCCCATCATGCCCTTTGTGCCATCAGCCTCCTGGCAGGAGGATCACCCCTTAAACCAGAGGGGAGATCCCCAAAGTGGGGCCATGGCTCTGTGCAGCCCTTCAGCTCTTGGGCAGAGGGGCTGGGCTGCACTGAAATGGGAGCAATGGCTGGGGGGGACAAGAGAGGGCATGGCACAGGGATGGGGTACAGGCTTGGCGTTCGGCAGCGAGCAGGGGTCCAATGGGCAGATGCCCCCTGCCACGGGCTCCACATCCACAGGTACTGAACAGCTTTAACAGTTGTTTGGGGTTTATTTTTTAATGTGAAGTCTTGGGAGTAAATTCCCTTCTCAGAAGGGCCGCACATGTGTCGACATCTCCATAGCAACCCTGCTCCATGCTGGCTTTGGCAGGGAGATGTGGCCACTGTAGCATCCTCACCTGGCTTTGGCAGAGAGATGTGGGACCATGGTAGCATCCTTGCCCAGCTTCTCTGGGACCATGGTAGCATCCTGTCCTGGCTTTGTCAGGGAGATGCGGTAGCATCCTCCGAGAGGATGCCAGGAGGATGGAGACCATCCCAGCTTGTCTCCAGACCTGTCCTGTTTTCTCAAGCAATGCCACACCTTCTGGCAGCAAAAGTGTGGGTACAAGAGAAAAAAAGGGGTATCCCCTCCTAAATCCTCTATTTTAGCATGAGGGGGAGCAGTAGCATCCCGAGGACGCCCAGCTCCTTTTGGCAGGGAGGCACCGATTTTTTCCACGGGTCCTTTTGCATCCTGCCTGTACCTTGGTCTGGCAGCAGCACTCAGCTGCCCAGTGCAACTGGGGGAACCTGCGAGGATGCAGAGGGGCTGCAATAGCTGCCTTTGGCGGGGGGATGCGGTGTAAGCAGGGGGGGCTGCTGCAGCTCAAGGATGCCTAACCCTTTAAAAGGGCTGCCCACGCAGGCATCGAGCCACTTGTGGCTGCCGGTGAAGCTGATCCCAGGATCCCCCAAAATGCTGCCAGCATCACGGTGCTGTGTGCCATTTGAATGTGCCATGATGGGTTTGCATGATGTGGTTTGGGCTGGTGGGTCCCGTCCCTGCTCCTGCTCGACTCCACTGGCACAGACCTGGGGCTGAGCCCCACTGGGCTGCGGGAAGTGCTTTGGGAAAGAGGGGGAAAAGGGGGCCCTGGCTTGTGGACCTGGGTGTTCCTCCCTCCCTGCTTGCTGTGCTGCCAGCAGCCAGGAGGGCATCAGCTCTCCTGGGGCAGGACTGTAGAAATAAGTGGATTTGTATGAATTTTGTGCCCTCCTGTGGAGACTGTCAACATCAAGTTTCCTCCACCCCGGGCAGAAACCACACATATCCCTTCTTGCTCCTTGCTGTCCCCAAACACATAACTGTAACTGGTGAGACCCCAGAGTTGAGCCCTGGAGACCCTGGGGAGGGGAAAGCCCCGAGAAGGGGCAGGGCAGGGAGAGCGGCTGGGCTGGTATGCTGTGTGCCAGCCTGGCCATGCCCTCCCTGCTGTAGGCAGGTGGTGGGAACTACCATGAGAGGGCACCCGTGCCCTCTGCAAGCCCTGTGCAAACCCTGTACGCTCCCTGTGTGCCCTGTGCATACCCTGTGCATACCCTGCATGCACCCTCCATACCCTGTGCATACCCAGTGTGCACCCTCCATGCCCTGTGCATACCTTACATGCACCCTGTGCTTGCCCAGCATGCCCAACTCACTGCAGCAGGGCTTGGGGGGCCTCTGGGAGCCCCCCCATCTCTGCTCCTCTTGCAGCAAAAGACAGGGCCTGGGGCAGCTGGGCAGAAATTGAGGGTTAGCCCCAGCCCCTGTTCCCTGGGGAGCAGCCCTGGGCCAGCGTTTCACCACAGTGTTTCACCTGCCTGCGGTGCCCGGCAGGAACTGGCCATTGGTGCCAGGCTGTTTCTGCCCAGCAAATGTTGTGGGGTGGCAGATGTGGCATCACCGGGGAGAAATCTCAGCTACCGAACAAAACAGGGGTGTGAGGATTTTTAGCTACTGAAAGGGAACTGGGCGATAAAGCTGGTTAATGCAGGTGAGCGACATGGCCTGGGCAGTGCTGGCAATGCTGGAAACCACAAACGGCACAACTGCCTTGTTTTTTCTTGTGCTGCTTTGCACAGCAGGAGGCTCAGAGTGAGCTGGGACCTGCTCTTGCTGGTTTTCCAGCTTTTTTTTCCCTTTTCCAGCCACATCACGTTCATCCTCCTGAAGCGCTGGCTGTTGCAGCTGTGTCTGCCCAAAGCCAAGGGGTGTCAGGGCAGGGCTGGGCTGTGTGCCCCACTGGTGGCAGCACCAACACAGTCCGGTTCCCCCAGGCCTGATGGTGGCACCACACATGGGCATGGGCAGGGCTGTCCCCTAGGTCCCATGGGAATGGGGACAGGCCTTTCCCTGAGCGTAATGGGAAGTGAGAGCCAGGCTGTCCCCATCCCAGGCACCAGAATGTCCCCATCCCAGGCGCAGGACTGTCCCCGTGAGGCACCAGGCTGTCCCATCCCAGGCACAGGGCTGTCATGCTCAGTCCCATGCCAGCCTGCCCACTGGAGAGCCAGCACCTTGGCACCATGGCACTCACCTGTCAGGCATGGCACTGGTGGCACAGCCCCAAACCTGGCACCATGGGGCTGTGGCGCTGCTTTGCAAATCACTTTGGGGTTGGAAATACCAAGGTGCAAAGAGCCGAGGAAGCCCAGGGCTCATGGGGTGCTCCAGCTCCTGCCAAGGATGGGAGGTTGAGGAGAGGTTCAGGGAGCCATGGGACACAGGGGACAAGGGTACAGTGGCTCTTCGTGCACTTGTTTAAAGCAAGAGTGTCCCCCCTTTTTAAACTGTTTTTTGGCTTGTGTGGCTCTGAGTCACAGGGCAGCTGAGTGGCCTTTGTGCCCAGCTCCGGAGGCAACTGGGGTTTATTTCTAAACACTGGGAGCGAGGACAGATTCCAGAGGAGATGTAATTGTTATAACCTTGAATTATCTGGGAAATGAGCTGCCAGTACCACCTCACCTTTGTATGCCTTGATTTACCCTCCAGGGCTTCCTGCTGGGGACAGCCTGAATATGGCAGTGACAGGGCATAGGGAGCAGGGATGGGGATGGGGACAGGGACGTCTCCTGCCTTTGAAGTTGAGTTTAATCCTGTTAAAAGCAGAGTGGTGAGCATCAGAGCTTGACTCTGCTTGGCGAGCCTGAGGACAGCAGCTCCACTCCTGCTCTGTGCTGTCCCCCTGTGGGCGGGCACCCCCTGGCTGGGGTCCTGCCTGTGCCCCACACTGGAGGGACACTCAGCCCTTTGTGGGTCCCCAGCATGCACCATGCTAGGGCATGGGCTGGGGCAGCCACCCATGAAATGTCCAGCCAGCCCCTGGGGATACATGATGGTCCTTGCTGCACAGGGCATCCCGACCCCTGCCCCAAAGGGGCCACATCCTGTGGGGCACTGGGCAGAAACTGGCCCCTCAGCTGGAGCGAGGACTCCCACCAGCTCCTGGACAGCCACAGATGAGCCTGCTCTGGGGTGGCTCCAGGCCGCTGGGCCATGCAGGACAGTTTGGGGTGAAAAACAGCATTCAGGTGTCCCCTGCCCGCTCTTGAAATAGCCCCGCTGCCTGCCACGGGTCTGCAGTTCACCCTGCCAGAGCTGCCCCTTGCACTCTGCAGCGGTGGGCAGCTGTGGGGTGTCTCTCTTGGTCCAGGTTGTGTGCTTCCTCGCTCAGGGCCATTGTATGGCCCCAGGTGCAGGGACATGGGGCAGGTCCTGAGCAGCAGGTGCTGGCAGCCTGCTTGCTCCTGTGGGGCTCTGCAGGACCGACTGGCTCTGGCATGGGGGTGACTGCGGCCGCTGTTGCTCCTGCAGCCTCCAACGTTTGTGGGGTGAAAAGCATCCCAAAAGTGGCGAGGACACATGCAGATCCCAGGTCTTGGCTTTGGGACCACCAGTGTGCCGGCAGGCTGCATCCAAGTGGGCTTGGACTCCAAACACATTTGCTTGTACTGGGATGTTAGCCCCTTCTCGGGGGATTCTGGGTCCAGCCCTGGGGCTGGGCGCACAGCCGCATCCCAGGGTGCCCGTCTCATGCTCACTCTCTCTCCCGGCACAGGGCGGACATCCATTCCCAGCTTGGAGGAAAAAATTGATTTTCTGGCAGACGTGCTGGCCAGGCAAGAGGCTCCTCGCCACCACCTGCTACGGGATGGCAAGCCCAGGAGTAAGTGCCTGCTCCCACCACTCTCTGCAGTGGTGCCGAGGACCCTGTGGCAGCCAGACCCTGCACCCCAGGCTGGTTTGCCCTCCAGAGCTGCCTGGGTACTGCTCTGCTCACAGCTCTGCCTTCTCCCACAGCCACCCTGGTCCCCACCAGCAGCAGACAGCACGTGGCCAGCAGGCTGAAAGAAGGGCTTCTGCAGCAGGGTCCCGCCAGCAGCAAGGCAGCCGCCACCCTCCCCACCTCCACCACCACCAGGGTCCAGAAGTTCCCGGTTGAGGCATCCCCCATCCCTTCAAATGACAATGTGGTGCTCGGTGAGACCCTGGGGACAGGCAGCTCGTGGGAAGGGGTTTCACATCCTCGCTGGGGAAGCATGGGCTGGTGGCACCGTGCCACTGGGCTCACCCACTGTCCCTCTGTGTCCCGCTCTACCTCTGCAGGGCTGATTGTGGTGTGCACAGTGGCTGGGATTTCGGCACTGATCGTGGCTGCGGTCTGCTGGTGCAGGTGAGCCGGGGGCTGCTGGTGCCAGCCAGTCCTTCAGTGTCCTTGTGCCCACAGGAGCTTGTTCCTGTGCTTCCCGGGCATGTGGGGGGGTTTGGAGGAGAGGCAACAGCTGTTCTTGTCAGTCCCCCTGCAGATACAGTGTCTGCTGGTCAGGGCTGGAGAACAGCAGTGGGACACCCCGTGCCAGGCACAGGTTCCTGGGAGTGGGTGGCACTTGGTTTGGGCATCGCTGTGGCACTGGGTGCTGACACACCCAGCACATCGGTGCCTCTTGCCCGGGCCCTGCAGGATGGACATCACTGTGCCTGGGGGTCCTACCTGTCATGGGTGCCATCGCAGGGAACAGGGATGTGGGTGGGAGGGCTGAGTCCCCCTAGGGGTCTCTGGCTCCCATATGGAGTCATCCAGGCCGGTGGCTCCTGCCGACCGCTCTCCATTCCCCTGGCAGGCTGCAGAAAGAGGTCAGGCTGGCACAGAAAGCGGACTACTCAGCACAGCGAGCGGCCAGCCCCCTGCCCTACGACAAGATCTCGGTAAGGCACCTGCGTCCCTGTTTGCAGGGTGTTTGGCACTGGGGCCAGACATGTGCTCTGCTTGAGGGGCTTCTGACATGGTGGGGAACACCCACCAGCCAGACTGGGGGCTCTCCAGAGCCCAGCCTCCATGCCTGTCCTTTCTCTCTTCGCAGCCCGGGGACAAGACGCTGGCTCAGAGTGCTCAGATGTACCACTACCAGCACCAAAAGCAGCAGATGCTCTCCATGGAGAAGTAAGCAGCCCCGGGAGCAGACAGCAGACCCGGTCACTGCTCCATGCCCTGCCATTGACTGGGGTGCTGCTAATCACCTCCCGGGCTTCAGCCCCTCTCTGCACCCTCTCCCCCCAGGCATAAAGAGGAACCCAAGCTGCCAGACTCGGCGTCATCCGATGAGGAGAACGAGGATGGAGACTTCACTGTGTATGAGTGCCCTGGGCTGGCTCCGGTACGGCAGGTGCAGCGCAGCCAGGGGGGACCCTGTGCTTGCAGGGTGGGATCCAACACATGCCTGGGATGTGCAGTTCCTTGCAAGAAGCCTTTTAAACATGTCCTTCATCAAACCCTGAAATGACCCAGACCCTCTGCTTCCCCCATGTGCCTTGCCCAGGTCCCACTGGAGCTCTCCAGTGGGCAGGAGTGGGTGCCCTGGTATGGGTGCCCCAGCACGAGGCCATTCCCTGGGGAGCGCTGCCCTGTGGCCTCAGAAGTGGAGAGCTGGAGCAGCCCTTGGCAGACCCAACCTGTCATCCCTGCAGTACCCAGGGACGTGGTCACCTCGGGCTCTTGGGCACTGGGACCGGGGAGCTCCTGGTGCCTCCCCAGCACCTGGACCGGGGACCTGTGACCCCTCAAAGCCAGGGGGGACTTTCCTGGCTGGCAGGGACCCCGGGGAAGGGCAGCTCCTAACAGCCCTGGGTACAATGAGCACAAAGAGACCCAAGAGGAGCCTTTCACATGGTAATGGCTGCGGAGCCTGGCCATCAGGGCCCAGATTAAGGGTCATCATTAGGTCTTTACAGGCCCATTAAAGGGCACTTGATGGCAGGCAGGCAGTCTGGGCAAGGAACCCCATTCCTGCCAGGCGGGGGGTCCCATCCTGGGGTTCTCAGCCAGGCTGTGGGGTCCTGTGCTAGAGTCCCCAGCCAAGCTGTGGGGTCCCATCCCATCCGGGACCATGGGTTTTACACACCATCATCCCAACCCAGCATCCCCGGCCGCTCCTGGTGGGGAGGCAGCACCTTTCCAGGGGTGACAGCAGGGTCCTGGTGTGTGTCAAACCAGCCCACGAGGTCCCCCCCATCCTTCCTCCTCCCTGCTGGGCTGGGGTTCAGACTCAAACCCCTTGGGACAGGGCAGCTTAACCCCCAGCTGGTTTCTGACCTCCTGCCTTTTCCTTCCTCCCATCCTGCTCCCTCCGCTGCCACAGACCGGAGAAATGGAAGTGAGGAACCCGCTGTTTGACGACTCCTCCTTACACCCCTCGAACCCCAAGTCGCACCAGTAACACCCATCCTCTCCTCTGCCCAAGCTCGCTATGGACTGTATGCCCAATGCCAAAGCCCGGTGGGGTGGCTGTGCCAGAGGGGCACCCACAGCTGGGTGAAGGGGTGCAGACCTCACTCTGCCAGACTGTTCGACGCCTGCCCAATAAACACCCACTAACAGCTAAGGGATGGGGGGATCGCCCCCATTTCCAGCGTCCTTGTCCTCTTTGCTGCTGTGTCGTGTCCCTGCCTTGCCCTTCGCTCACTGCTCTTGGGGACACACCAGCCCTGCGAGGGGGGCAGCCACTGCCTTGGCACAGAAATGGAGGGGCCACAGCGCTGTCTCTTTGCATTTGGCTTTGAGGAGGGGGCTGCTGCTCCAGCTGCAGCTGGGCTGATGCAACAGCAGCTGGGAAAGGGCTGGAGATGGTGTTTGAGAGCGGGAGAGGGGCCAGGGGCGTCTGGGTGTGCTCATGCCTGCAGGGGAAGGCGTCAGGGCTGCCAGCCTGCCCAGAGACCCTCTGCCAGGGATGGAGACTTTCCCTGGAGTGGGTGGCATTGCTAAAGGCTCTGGTGCCTGGTCTGCCCCCTCATTCCCAGCCTGGGCAGCCCCTGGCAGCAGGGTCCTGCTCCAGGAGCCAAGGGCAGGAGCAGGAGCAGGCACAGGCAGGCACTGGCATTGCTCCCCAGGATGCACCTTCATATGCTGCCCTGCGTGGTGCCTGGCCAGGAGTAGAGGCTCTGCCCTGGCTCCTGCACTGGCTCCATCTCCTTCTAGGGGTGCTGGTCCTCGGAGGCCCTGGGGCGCAGACAGTTCTGGTGCTGCTGTGGCCTAGGACCCTGTGTCAGGCTGTGCCAGTGGAGGATTTCCTCGTGGCAGCCCTGGGTGCTGGCTGGGCTCTCACCTCAGGCCTCCATGGGGTGAATGCTCAGAAAAGGGCAGAAAACCCTGAGGTTTTGATTTTAAGTCTGTGTGGCCATGGGGGAGGAAGAAGCAAGACTGGTAGGAGGCTGGGACGAGTAGCCAAGGCATGGTGGCTTTGCTGCACTGCTTTTCTGCCCCATGGAGCCTATGCCCTTTGCAGCGTCCCTGTGGAGCCTGGCCCAGTGCTCTCTCTGGGCATCCCTCCATGGCAGGGGACAGTCTCTGCCACTCCATCCCGGGCACCTCCTGGGCTCCAGAGACCCCCTGCACCCCTCTGCTGCCCGTGTCTGCATCCAGGCTCACCAGCCCCCCCTGACAAATCCTCGCTCACAGCCCATTACCATTCCCTAAAATCTCCCCAGTGCATTAGCCGTGACCCCTCCAGCGTAAGGTCTGGGATGAGTTTTGGGTTGCTTTTCACAGATATGGCTTCATGTCCAGACCCTGGCATGGACTGTCATGGCCACAGGTGTTCTGTTGCATGCAGGTGGTGTCTTGCACGGGGGTGACCTCTTGCACACAGGTGGCCTCTTGCATGCATGGGAGCTGTTGCACACACAGGAGCCATTGCATGCTCAGGAGCTGTTGCACATGCAGGCAGACACAGGCAACACAGGCAGCAGCAGCAGGACCCTGTACCAGTGAATGGTAGTGGTGTGGGAACATCCCCGGCGGGGTTGCTGGCAGAGGCCGTCACTGCACAGATCCTTTCCCCGCACCCTGCTCCCTTACCCGTGGGCTGCTGCCCTTCTTCCCGCGTCCCTCGTTGTTGTATGTATTGTAGTTCTTTTAAAAGGAGATTTTATTAAACGACCATGTTTGAGACCCATGCGAGTGTGTGGTGTGGGGCCAGGCTCCCTGCTGTGGGGCCCTCGGCTGGGAGTTCTCTCAGTAGCAGGGTGGGACAGGGGAGGGACAATGCTGCGGGTCCCCCATCTTTCTCCAGGGAATAGCGAGAGCAGACATCCTGCTCCTGCAGCTGGCGTAGACTCCAAACCTTTCCCAAGGGTTCTCCCAGACCTGGCAAGAACCAGAGTTTGTTTTCTTGCTTCTTAGTGTTTGCCAGTAGGTGTTTCCCCAGCGAAGGGTTGAGTGGGAGCCCCTGGCTGTGCCTGTGCACACCCAGCCCTGCAGCACCCAGCACCCACCTGCCCCCATCACCCCTTGCCCCCAGGGCCGGGTCCTTCGCACCTCAGCAGGGCCGGCTGATAAGGGCTATCCTGTCCCCCCATTGTGTGGAGCCTGAGCTCCTCTCCCATCCCTTTGATCACGCCAGCCCCCCATCAGGCTGATACAATCTTGTCTCCTCCTGGTTTCAGCAGCCTGGAGGGTGGGTGCTGACTCACCACCAAAGCGCCCAGGCACCATTAGGGATGCTTCCTCAGCTCCATTCATGGGCGGCCCTGAGGTCTCCAGCTGCAGCCCCAGGCGGGCAGCATCACACCCCAAAGCATCTGGGACTGCCCCAAGGCTCACCCCTGGGGAAACACAGCATTGCACCCCTCCCTCTCTGAGGTCCCCAAATTCATCCTTCCTTTGCTCTCAGAGCCCAGCTGCCTCTCAGAGCACACCCAGGCTTTTTGGGAAGCTCTAACTGTGAGTAAAACCTGGCTGCTCCTCCCGGGAAGACCCCCTCGCTCAGGGCCCCCCTGGGAAGCTCTGTCTGCCCCATATGTCCAGGTGTGGAAGAGTCATTTGTCCTGGGACACTCTGTCAGTGCCGCAGACATCCCAGGACAGCCCGGGGCTGGGTGCAGGATCTGTGCTCAGCCCCAGCCTGTCTGTGCCTCAATTTCCCCACCTGTAAAACAGCAGGAAGGACCAGCTAGTGTGTTCAGGCACTGCAGTGATGTGGGCAATACCCAAATTACACCCTGGGCTCTGTAATGCAGACGCCTTTTTCATGAGGGGGACAGAGCTGGACCAAACCACCCTCCAGGACTTTCATCTCAGCCAGGTTTGGAAGCACCAACCCTCCATCCCGACCACCCAGGCCAGCAGCCAAGCAAACTGCGGTGTCATGGAGCAGCTTTGGTGTTCCTCCCAGGGTTGGGGCTTCTAGAGTGGAACCCACTACCCAGCCCTCCTCAGATGGACCTGGGGTGAAGACTGTGGCTGGCTCCTGACCATGGGGTCCCAACCTACAGTGTGCAGGGCTGCAGCCCACCAAGGTGTGATTGCCTTAGGCATGAAACTCAGGGGGATCCAGCACAGCCCCGACGGCCTCTCCATCACCTGTCCCAGGAGAAAGGGTGGGCTGACTGAATAAAACATCATCTGTGGTCATACACTCTTTTAAAATCTTGCCTCCAAGCCAAACCAATGCCAAACCAGCACACTCAGCAAAGGGAGGACAAGCAGATGTGCATCTCTGTTTCCCACAGCCTGCTGCCATCTCAGTGAGCTGGGGAGGACAGATGCATTTCTTTCTGCTCCCTTTTTCCTAGCAGGATCCCATCCATCCCTGGCTGGGTTACAGACCACAGAGCTGGGCCCGAGCCTGGAGCATTAGCAGGCTCCAGCCATGCAGGTGATGGAGGGATTCATCCTTCCTCCTCCTGGAGCAGGCAGGAGGCTCTGTGCCAAATGAGATGGAAGGCCAAGCCCCGGCCATTTGTGCACAATGACCCCGCACAACAACCAGGCACCTCACACAGCCCCCCCAAAATCGACCCATTGAAATGTATGGGGGGGGCACACACCGAGAAACCCCACTGACTCCCTCCACATCCCCCAGCTAAAACCATCACTGCCACAATGGGCCTTGCTCCTACAAAGGGGCCGGTTCAAAGTCAACGTATCCCTTCCCCTCCGCCTGTATATGAAAGAG